TTGTAGGAGTTTTTAGAAAAAAACCTGTGTTAACGGGGGGGGGGGGGGGCATCGAACATATCCCGCATACTTGTTGGAGGTACTTTGAGAATCACTGAGTGGAACTGTTGTTGTTTTTGTTTTAATTGGTTCACATTCATTGCACTCTCAGAGAGCTAGCGGACTCCCTATTTGAACGCTCGTGTCCACCCGCATCCAGGTCAACCGCCTCTCCTGGCCACAGCGCCGTCTCCGCAGCCCCCCACCTCGGCCCCCGTCTGCGGTTCCGGTGGCCAGATCCTCACCGCCATCTACCCTCCTTCGCAGAGTGTCACCATGGCGACCGGGGTGGTCTCCATGGAGGCCATACCGCCTAGCACGGCAGTCTATTCAGTCTCCAGCCCCTCCAGCGTTTCCAGCCACATCATGGCTAAACACACGGCGCCCCCCGCCGCCATCACGGTGCCCCAGCCGCCTCAAGAGCGCCACCTGGCTGCTGACAGAGCTGCAGACAAGCAGGCTGAGAGGCAGCCGGAGGTGCTGATGCAGCCAGAACGCCAGGCTCAGAGCGCCATAACCAGCAGCTCAGCAGCGCCTCCTGGTGGACCCGTTGTTGCTGCAAGGTCCTGCAGTCCGCTTCAAATCCAAACAACTGGTATGCCTGTTGACATTTTGACGCAGGTGGTGCAAGTACTCGCATACTGTACTCAAGTAGGAGTACAGATATGTATGGGGGAAAAAAGGCAGAAAAGTAAAAGTACTGATTAAACTCCTTTACTTAAGTAAAAGTAAAAAAAGTACAGATTGTGAGATGTAGTATGGATGCAAAATCCTTTCTTTTTTTAGTACTCGTTTTGATAACAGCACAGGATTTGTGTCTTTTGTCATGTTTTATTCCATTACAGATTTTGTCTGAATACTTACAATGGTATGATTGTATTGTATGCTATTTGTATTCTGTAGAATAGAAGCAATTAGTATTGCTGTTAATATTTTATCTGATTTATTCATTTGTTTAGTTTGATTTTTAATCTTGCATTTGCTATTTATAAATTCTGTCCGGCAGCCAGCGCACCCGGAACACTCAAACTCAGCCACCTCCCAACCAGACCCCCCCAGAAAGTGAAGGCCACACTGGCCAGCATCCCGGTAGGCAGCTACGAGGGAGGGGGGCGGGGCAAGGAGCGTGAAAAGGAGCGGGAGAAGGAAAGGGAAAAGGAGGCCGCGGCCGCCTCATCCAACAGCCACTTCTCCTTCGACACGGAACCGTCGGGACCGACGTCTGCGTCTCCCACTTCGCATTCAGCTGAGGAGCCTTTGTCCTGTGACAGCACAGCAGAAACCACCAGAGAGGTAACCGGCTTGCAACTCGGCTTGTATGTCAAGATGCCACTGACCCGACTGATGGCGAATAGTGAACAATTCTTCCGAAAAGAAATGACCCTGAAGCTGACAAGTCTTTGCGGTGGTTGTTTTGTTTAGGCTGGATGGAAGGACTCCCTCCCTTCCTCTCCCGTGCCTCCCCCATTAGCCACTGAGCCCACCCTTCCGCCCCCGCACACCGACAAAGAAGCGCCGCTGCCAAAGAAGATCAAAGCCCGCCCCCCACCTTTAAAAAAGACCTTTGACTCCGTGGACAAGTGAGTGCTGACAATATGACAGTATACCGCCAGCGGGACGGCGCACTATATGCCGTGTGCGTGTTTTTTGTGTGTGCTGGTCGGGAAGGGTGCTGTCGGAGGTCTACTTCGAGGAGCGCTTCGCCGAGCTGCCGGAGTTTCGACCCGAGGAGGTGCTGCCGTCGCCGACGCTGCAGAGCCTCGCCACATCCCCCCGGGCCATCCTGGGCAGCTATCGACGCAAGAGGAAGAACTCAACAGGTCTCTCATTTGTCAATTATTATCGTTATTATTGTTGGTTTGAGATGAGAGGTTAATTTGTTCCAGTGATGATGACGATTTCAACTCAAAATCTCAAATTGTTTTTTCCCCATTGAAATGAATGCAAATGGCATTAATCCGTTCCATCCCCGTAGATTGGTAATACAGAGCCCAGTAGTCACATTGCTTATTTTGTGGTTCAGACTTGGACTCGGCTACCGATGATCAAGTGTCTCCAAAGAGGAAGAGTCGGCGGCGTTCCAGCTGCAGCTCGGAGCCGAACACGCCAAAAAGCGCCGCCAAGTGCGAGGGCGATATCTTCACCTTCGACCGGCCAGGTAACGCACACAAACACTCGCGGCCACACACACACACACACACACACACACACACACACACACACTCACACACACACACACACACACACACACACACACATCAACCTGCACATGGTTTTATTACGGCTGCGATTTATTATGAGATTAATGTCCATGGTCCTCTTACCGTGTATTTTTTTAATAAACAGTAAAATTAATGTGTGTCCCAACAAATACATGATTTATTATACATAAGTACAAAAAAATGCATAAATCTAAAAATTTCACCTCACAAGGCGAAAAATATTAAACATTTTTGTGAAAATTATCCGCACAAAGTGAGCCCTCGAAATACTTAGTTGCTCTTTACTCACAGGCATAAACATAGAAGTTCCCAATATCCACAAAGTAGACGTTTTATGCTTTCTGTATTTTGGTTTTCTTTCTATTTTCTGTTTTGCGCAGGCACTGATGGCGAGGACATCCTGGCCGAACTGGAGTTTGACAAAGTGCCGTATTCGTCCCTGCGACGGACGCTGGACCAGAGGAGGGCGTTGGTGATGCAGCTGTTCCAAGAGCAGCAGGGCTTCTTTCCATCAGGTTGGCAAAACGTATGCTACGACGCGCTGCTACCGTGGCAGTACGGCGTCCAGAATAGATCCCGATATTTGAGTCAAAGCTTGCAACATGTCTTCTGGTTCGCAACATCAGCAAAAGTGCACACAAATGGAGTGGACTAAGCGTACTTCCACTCTTACGTTGGATTAGAAAAGTATGGCGTTTATTTCTGTAATCAAGCCATGGAGCCGCGTCAGTGTTGACGTTGTACTTCATTTGCAGCTCAGGCCACGGCCGCCTTCCAGACCAGGTACTCGGACATCTTCCCCACCAAGGTGTGTCTGCAGTTGAAGATCAGGGAAGTCCGGCAGAAGATCATGCAGACGGCCACCCCGGCCGACGCCTGTCTCACCGTCCCCGCTGACTCGTTGCCCGGACCCTCTGGTGCCCAGTCGGGTGACGGGCCTGGGAGGGAGGATGAGGATGCAGAACCCGGAGCCGAGGAGGATCCCGGCGACTCGCAGGACTCTTCCAGATGAGGACTTTTTGCCACCATGTGGACTTGTATTCCCATCTCTGGAAGCCCAGTGTGATGTACGTTTAGAATAAGAGAACCAAAAAGTAAAAAGTTGGACAAGCCGTGGTGTCTGTATTGAGATTCCGGAACGTTGGATGGATTCCCCGGAACTTTCCCATGGATGTTCACAAAGACCAAATGTGTTGATTGGCGTTAAAAAAAAACAAACAAAAAAAAAAACGTTTATCTTGATTTGTTTTGAATGATGTTAAGAGGGAAAGTCGTCAAAATTCTTTTTTTTTTTCCCCGGATGTAGAGCGTTGCTTCCATTAAGTTTCTGCTGACATTCTGGGGGGCTGGGACCCTCAAGACTTTGTCCAACCCTAAACCGTCGGCATGATCAGTCGCTTTGCTTTTCCAGTCGACCGACAGGCTGCTTCCGGAGAGCTCTTTAAAAAACAAACAACAACAAAAAAAACGACTGCAGAGTTGACAGAAAGTGGACGTCCTGGCTGTGCCAACATTCCTGCTGTACCCTGCATCGTAGTCTGAAGGAAGCAAACATTCCCGTGCCTCTCATTGCTTACGCATGAAGGAAGGAGGTTAGTCCATGGTGGCCATTTTTATGGACTTTGGGTTTTTTTTTTTTGTTTTGTTTTTTTATACTTTGAATTTTATCATCAACGTGTTAGCTCCACCTGTGACTTTTAATTATTCTTTACATTTTTCCTTGCCCTCCCTTTGGAATTTTTGGAGGCATGTACTGTACCCTATCCTCGTGCTTTGTCTTCCCTTTAACAAACTAGTTTTTGTTTTTTTTTTAAACGTTTCTAGACCCACCTCAACACTCTTTACTTCCCTTTTTCCTACTTCCTCCTTTTGTCACTTTATGCCTTTCCTCCCTCCAAACGGTCACAATCAAAATAGAACTGTTGGAACAGAACACTTGACCGTAGTGCAAAACTTGTTGGGTAAATACTGTAAGAGTCTAGCTGTATCACAAAACAAAAACTGGACTCTGAAATGCAAAGACATGGGGGTGGGGTTACAAAAACTATATGGCTTTTAATGTTTTTGTGTTTATGTTTGGCTGTTCCAGTATCCAAAAGACAAATTTATATGAATAAATTAAGTTTGTATCTGTAACTTTCAGTACGCCAATAAAGTTAGGTGGTCAGTTAAATTAAAAAAACAAGTGAAATGTGGTGACTGAATTCTTCAGGATGCAAACTGAGTTTATTTATTTATTAGCACCTCATTTTGTGTCAAGAGCTGTCACATGAAATTCATACAAATCATAGTAAAAATCCTCTAAAAAAACTCAAGACACTCAAATCCTTTAAAGTACATTTTTCTTAATACATTTAAATTTCATGTTTTCCATGAAAAAAAAAAAACAATCTTGACATCAAGTCTAATCTGTATTTCCTATCAATTCATTTCTTTATTCATTAGGTAAAAAAAAAAAGTCTTCTTTCAAAAATAACATTTCTTCGTGACTCCCGACATTTGAACAGGGGGTATGTGTGAATATCTAAATAGTTTTCATACCACCCGTGTTTTAACGCTTGTATTTCTTTTCGCTCAGAGCATGTGTAGTCCGTCCAGGCCGTTCTCCATTGCCGTGTGAAAGATCTCCAGGGCCTGCTCCAGTGGCAGCGCCTCGCCTTCACTGCTCTCGATGATGGCGATGGTCTCCCCGAACTCATTACACATGATGGTGTTCGTGCCCTGTGACGGCGGGACAGATGTTCGGTGAAATGTGGTATGCTTTGGATGATAAGTGTTGATCGGGGGTGGCCACCGATGGCACACTCCTTCATTAATCGGGTCGAGCCAGTATTTGGTCTATCAAGTCTCCTGTAATATTTGTGGCAGTCATCTAACTGTTAAATCCCAAACTCAGTTCGCTTTTCCTTTTAAATCACTTGTTTCATTTATATTATTAAAAATGCAATGTCATAAATTTTGCATGTTTTTACAGTATTAAACAAATTAGGTATCCGTCATTCAAATGAGCTAATGAGTTATATAAATACTGTTAAAATGTATTTTTGTAAAATAAGTTTAGCAAATGAATTTTCATATTCCCAATGTTCATTTCGTATTGCATAGTTGTTAAAAATGAAACTGACCCAATCTCTCTGTATAATTTATATATAAATGTATATATATATAATCCCCCTGCCCCAATTATATATCTACGTTAAAACATTTACATCACATACGAATGACCTGGGCCTCAAAAATGTGCCCACCCGAATGCAAGATGGATACGAACCTGCTGAACGTCCGAGGATTGGATCTGGATGAGGTGCGGCTGCAACTTGGGGAGTTCCACGGTGGAAATCTCCACGGCCGAGTCAGTTTTGGCGTCGGCATCCCGGTCCAGCTTCTGCTGGCGACTGTGAGTCTTCTTGTGGTTTCTGAGATTGGAGAAGGTCTTGAAGGCCTTTCCGCAGTGCGGGCAGACGTGCGGCCGCTCGCCCGTGTGCGTGCGGCGGTGCTCGACCAGATGCATGCTCTGGATGAAGCCCTTGCCGCACACCTCGCAGCAGAAGGGCCGCACACCCGAGTGCGTGCGCAAGTGCTCGCGCAGGTGCGTGCTCTGGCGGAAGCGCTTGCCGCATATCTGGCATGGGTACGGCCGCTCGCCCGTGTGGACTCGCTGGTGCAGTGCTACGCCCGAGCTGGACACAAACAGCTTGCCGCACACGGGGCACTGGTGGGATTTACCGTGCTTGGCGGCGGTGCCGCGCGGCCGGCCGGGACTGGGGTGGCTCAGCTTGTGGAGCCGCAGATTGGCGGGGGAGTTGAGCTTCTTTCCGCAAATGTCGCAGTCCAAGCCAACTCGAACCGGGATATCCGCGGTGGAGTGGGATGTCTCCGATTGGCCGGCAGAGGCGTCCTGGGGTTCTGAGCGCGCGACTGGGTGTTGCGCCGAGCGGTGGGCCTCCAGTTGCCTCCTGGTGAGGAAGCCGGCCTCGCAGTGGGAACACGGGAAGGGTGCGGGAGATCCGGGGTGCTGCGTGAAGCGGTGCACGGCCAGCTTGGTGGGCCAGCGGAAGGTGGCGGGACAGTCGGGGCACATCAGGCCCCCGCTGCCGCCTGCCGCGTGCAGCAGGCTGTGCTGGCGCAGGTTGGACGACTGCGAGAAGGCCCGCTGGCACACGTCGCAGCGGTACGGCCGCACGCCCGTGTGGATCAGGGTGTGGCGGGTGAGGTTGGCGAGGGACGAGAAGGTCTTGCCGCAGTCGGCGCACTGGAAGGGTCGCTCGCCCGTGTGCGTGCGGATGTGGTTGCGTACGTGGATCTGTTTTGCGAAGGTCTTGCCACAGACGGTGCACAGGAAGCTGCGCTTGGGCCCGTGCGCCGCGCGCCGGTGCTGGAGGAGCTGCAGCTGCGAGGGGAACGTCTTCGGACATGAGTGACAAGCAGAGAGGCCTTTGTCCGACCATGAGGGCCCGGCACTTGCTGAAGAGCCAGATGCGACTTCCTCAGCGGGTTTGGCGCCGGGATGCTCTTCGGCCACCTCCCCTTGAATCTCACTGCTGTGCACCTTGCTTACATCCGCCTGGTCTTGGTCAATTTGTTCCATCTCCTCCTCGGTGAGGGGGGCCATGATCTGTGAGTTCTTCTCCCTTGCTCGCTGCAGGATAGCCAGAGTGGAGAGAGAGGCTTGTCGTGGGACAGCGTTAACCTGGAGAGGGATTGAGTTTGCGTTTATTTCAAATTCATGCTCAGGGAAACCCGGAAATGAAGAATTTACAAAGTCTGCAAACTCCGTGAAAATGAAAGCTTCATAAATAATGCCCATAATAAAAGAAAGCTTCATGTCAGCGGTCAGAGAGACAAACAGTCTTCAATTGCGACTCGTATTGAGTATCTCTTTCGGTATTTTTAAAATGGTGCCGGTACCCAAACGGTGTTGTTGGAAGTCCCAATGAGTATCCTGTGGGGTGTGTTAAAAATGAGATTTCCTCCCTGATTTGCCCCAAAAACCATACATGGCAATGGTGAGTAATGAAAAAAGCGGAAAGGGCGTGGCCTGGCCGGGGGCGTGGTTACTTATAAAAAGGGCACTAAACATGCTGAAGATAGTGTATTGAATTTACACACTATTTGAAAATTGAACAGAAAAATATCCCAAGATCGCCACTATTCTTTCAAGTGAAAAGTTGTGCAATTTTGCTTATGCATTCCTGGTGAGCATATGTAACTCCAGATTTGCTGCTCAAAATCAAAACTAAAAAAAGTAAACACATTCCCTGCCATATTTAAGATTTGTTCATGACTTGTATTCACAAAGTATTGTGTAAATGTGATAAAAAGCTGTTGATTCTTACCTCATACAGTAACGTCTTTAGTTGTATCCGCTGACTAAGTTTGTTTGAAAAATGCCGATCCCAAAGAATAATTGCTCCATCGACTGGCGATTTTGTCGGCATGTTTTTTCACTATTGTTGCATGATCTGTCAGTGCCACGCATCCACGGGAGCCATAGTTAATTAAGTCACTCCAATACACACAATAATCTTTGCCTGCTGCGTCTGGTTTCTTCAAAAATTGTCCAAGAGCTTCTGTAACTTCGTCGAACTTGGACCCAATTTTAACCTTTACAGTGACTTTTCTGTCAAGCCAGTCCCATCGTTATTTATTCTTGACATTTGAGTCAATTTCTAGGATTGAAGACTCCTGA